TATCTCGGAGGTTAGGTATCGGTGTCTTATGGAACGCGAGGGGATGGGTCTTGATGCCTTGTGGAACGCGCGAAAGTGATCGAGGTCAATGTTTCCTCGGACATTGGTCGAATTACGGTAGTGTGGCTTATTAGTGGCGAATTTTTCTTCCGAACACACTCTATAGGTAAGAAAATCAATCGTAGAATATTTCATATTAATAATAAGAATATTTTTAATATTATTATTAATTTGTCAGTGTATGAATCCTATATATTAACAAACTTGTGCACTGTGTGTCGAATGATATTAATCCTTTGCACTCGGTTGTCCCCTCTGAAGGGATAAAATGTATGGAAAGTTAGAAATTCCGAATGCAAAGGGATAAAGAATTTTTGAAGGTCCTGCGGAACGCACGAGAGGACAGGTCCAGTGCCTTGAGGAATGCGAGAAGTGATCGAAGTTAGTGTTCCTTCGGACATTATACGAATTTTGGTAGCGAGCTTTATTAGCGGCGTATAGTTTTATTTGGAACACCCTCTATAAGTAAGAATATCAATCGTAAAGTATTCAATATTAATGTTAAGAATACTGTTAATATTACTATTAATACTCATATTTTATTATTAATGTATGAATATATCAATTCTGTATATTAACGAACTTATTCTGTGTATGTCAAATGATATTAAAATGCTTGCAAAAGTCCTGCGCAACGCGAGATGGGCTGGGTCTCGATGCCTTGCGAAACGCGCGAAAGTGATCGAGGTCAGCGGTTCCTCCGACATTGGTCGAATTACGGTAGCGTGGTTTATTAGCGGCGTAAAGTTTTACGAACGTCCATTCACGTGGCAGTTATTGGAAAATCGGATAAGAATAATATTGTTATGGTGTAAAGATTATTCTACGTTGTAAAATAATTTTTACTTTTAGTAAAGGATTTTCGGGCGGGTATGCTCGTCCATGGTTGCAATGAATCGTCCAATAGAGATAAATTGAAATAAATATCAGACATTTTGCTCTATCGGAGCTTGCATTTTGTGTTTAGCACCTTAAACGATATTCATTTATCTATAATTACTCTCTAGATGTTTATGTAAAATCATTATCTTGTAAGATAACTTATAAAATGAGAAATTAAATAGAAACATTAATCTTGAACTTTAGTCTATTAGGGTGATAGCAAACAGTGGGAAAGAGTGTTGAATTGTTAAACTTTAGTTTATATTTATATCATAGTGTCGTAAAAGTATCGTTGCCTGCACGGTAAGTATTATGGCTGCTCAATAAAACATTGGAGATCAATGCTTATATATAGTATTTTTTTCTGTTTCTACCTTTAAAACTGTAATTCTGAAGATTAATAATTCAAATTTGGTATACGCTGCATCGCTGTGAAGATCAATTGCAGAATACTCAATATTAACCCAGATAAGCCTGTCATCCTTCCAGAAGGATGAATATCGCACAATTTGGGCTTGCAATTTTTGGCACACGTTGCCTGGCCTAATATCCTTTTGGACGGAAATAGATTGAATTTGGAAGGAATCTTTCTGAAGACTAGCTAACAGTAATATAGAAATATAATTAGTACTAGGGAAAATATTATTTTGAAGAAAATCAAGAAACAAATTCAGGCTTATCTGGGTTAATATTGACAATATTTTGAATATTACCGTTAATACTTATACTATTAATTTATCAAGTGTATACATTAACAAACTTGTCCGTTCTATCTCAAATGATACCAAAGCATTTTTAAAAGTACCTTTCCTCCGTTATAGAATGCTACGAGAGGATTACTTTTAATTGAATCCGGCCAGTGGGGTTCTTAAACGCCTGAAGATGGTCGCGATAAGTCTGCACCTGATCGCTGTGACTAACATCGTTCCCGTTTCACCGAAACAAGTCAATCGCCAGGAAAATTGCCCCGAGCACAATAGAATCCCGGCCGCTAAAGCGATTACTCTGTCGGAATTAATGATTACTTTTAAATTCACGTCTTCCCGTCGACAGATTGACCGGAAGCCCCGCGGTTCGAATAAGGCGGTTCTCCTGGCCGCTCAAGGTGAACACACCACTCAAAGCCATCCAAGTGTCCCGTTAACTACGCTTATTTTCGCTCGACTGAGCCCCAGCTTGCCCCGTTCGCCGTGGTGTAACGTTATTACTTGTAACGAGGGAAGCACCTGTTTTTCACTATCCAATATACAAAATGCTGTTCACACGGCCAGCCGGGGGCGCAATAAACGGACCGGCTTTCCAATATCCAAGAATCGCGGTTGTCACTGCACGGATACCTTTTTTATACGCGAATAAGCTACTACTACTGTAATCAATGGATCCACGGATTTGGAGATTAATTTTGAAAAACTGAAAATTACACAAAAATTTATTTCCTGTATTAGCAGGTTTATTAATCGAAGAGTTGTATACAGTAGGGGACAAAAATGTTACCACTTTTCTGATTCTTTATATGTCGATTATTTTTTAACATCAAGTTAAAACTTTTATACTGTTTTAACCATCTATCAGAATATATGTATATTAGACATATATTATTGTGTTAAAAAATAACAAAAATAAAACAATCGAGAGAGTGGTGAAATTTTTGCTCGCTACTGTATGAGAAGTGCAATAAAATTAAAGTTTTAACACTAGAATTAATTTTAGAAATTAATTTTTCCATGATTCTGGTTTTTGTAACAGCTTATAGGGATGGATTATTCGTATAAACAGCCGTAGTCTAATTATTAATCCATTAAACTAGTTACTTTATGGAGTTTCGTATGTAGTAATTTTGGTCAATGATCCAACTGTTTTAAGTTTGTGTTAAAAAATAACAAAAATAAAACAATCGAGAGATTGGTGAAATTTTTGCTCGCTACTGTATGAGAAGTGCAATAAAATTAAAGTTTTAACACTAGAATTAATTTTAGAAATTAATTTTTCCATGATTCTGGTTTTTGTAACAGCTTATAGGGATGGATTATTCGTATAAACAGCCGTAGTCTAATTATTAATCCATTAAACTAGTTACTTTATGGAGTTTCGTATGTAGTAATTTTGGTCAATGATCCAATCTGAGCATCTGATTTAACAGATTCGTCGCCATGATGGTCTTCCGGTGATCGACACTAATCCTCCCGTTTAAGCCTCGACCGTCACTTCTGACCGACATTTCAATGTAAAATAATCCAATTCCCGTGAACGGAATGTTAACATCTCTTTAACCTCCACAAACACGTCAATAACTCAGCTCTACTGTAACGTTACTGATTATTTAAATAGACTTCTCATTAAACTTTAACCTCCACGAACACGTCAAGAACTGAGCCCAATTATAACGTTGTTCACTATTTAACACATCGAGCGATAGATAAATTTTCGTTAAAATGTACTGTATACTTTGTTCACCGAACACAAACACCAAACTGAAATTAGCCTATGTAACAAAGCTAATAATACTTAAATGGAAGAAAAATACTGTGATTTTTGTGGCGTACTCACGATAAGCTTGCGATTCGTCACTGTTCGGTGGTAAATTAATACCGCGGAACTCGTTGAAACATGGCGTGATTGTGTATATTGATATCATGTGATTTGAATAATTTAACACGACTTGGTCACACACACTTAAACTTTAATATAAACTTGTTGTATTTGCTCTGACTGGTCGATGCGTTCTGCTTAATGGTGGAATGTGTTCTGTCTGATGGTTATATGCGTAGACGCTTCTTCCTACGGCTCGGTTTGTGATTGGTTAAATATATTGTATTTGTGTAGTGGTGGAAAATTAACAGTTTTGGTTGGTATGTGAGGTGAAAGAAGTGGGGCTTGGTGTAGGTATTGTTTTCTGGGATTCTTGGAAGTCAGCGTCGAAATACAATAAAGAATGTCCTTAGGACAATGAATGTTTACACGTGATTTGCAGATTTCCAGGAATCCCTTTTATGACGGTTCTTTGACCATATCGGCGGCCCAAGACGGGACGATCGTTAGGTCTTCCGTTAGGTCGCAACGGTGGATTTAGGAAATACGAGTAAATAATGCATGTGACTGAAAGCGAGATTGCTTGTTTCCTATGAAAACACGATTTCTATTATACAGGGTGTCCCAAAATAGTTGGAAGTCCTTGGAAGGGGCGATTCCTGGGGTGATTTGAAACAATTTTTTCCTTAGCGAAATCGTTGTCTGAGTGAAAAACCCCGACCAATCGGTTTTTCTTTAATATCTCGTTAACAAAGCTTCGGAGAACTTTTTCCCTAAGGGAAGAATTGTTTGAAATCACCCCTTTCAAGGACTCACACCTGCGTTGGGACACCCTGTATAAACCGTCGAACGTCGTCAGTAACCTCGACTTACTTCATTCCCTACTCTCCAGGTTCAAGTACGGAGCGACAAGACGAAGTCTGTCAGTTCAAGGACTCACACCTGCGTTGGGACACCCTGTATAAACCGTCGAACGTCGACAGTCACCTCGACTTACTTCATTCCCTACTCTCCAGGTTCAAGTACGGAGCGACAAGACGAAGTCTGTCCGTCGGAAAGATGCAAAGGTGCTGTTCGTGGCAAGTATGTATTAATTTCAGCAGCGAGCAAGCAGCACGAATATAAAGCAATATTTGATATAGGAAAAGAATGAATCACGATTATGAAAACTGTGTACTGTAATGGAAATCAATAAATATTGTGTATACCCCACAAATACATTAATTTTTTCCAAAGCATTAGCTAATAATAGTATTCTTAGAATTAAATGTTCCATAGACAGAAAATAATAAACATTCGATTGAAAGACTCATACTCAATGACAAAAATAGTAAATTCTTCGTATGGATCGCACAGTCCGATTAAACGGTACGCCGTGCGAGGGTTAACAGACTCTCCATCTGAATTTTATTAAAACATGAAGTACCCAAGTCTGGTTTCGAGAAAAAAAAGTGTTTTCAAACAGGCTTTAGGGGGTTGATCGTCGAACACTAGGGATGTCTGAAAGATGTCGGAAAGTGACCGCTTACCCCTGATTGGAGTACGAGTTTGCTATCCCATCCAGCTTGTCCCTGCTGTTATCGTCGGCCATGGCGATTTCCAGCTGATAGCCGAAGCTTGTCAGGTCTTCCCTGAATGCCTCGCTGCCGGGCGTTAGGGCGCCGCTGGTCAATGGCAGGGGTGTCGCGTTGCTACCATCCCCCTCGCCGCCGTCCTCGCCCTCCTCGCCGCCCACGAGGACCACCTCGTCTTCGTTGTAGATCTTGAAGTAGGCGATGGTGAGGTATATCACCGAGATTATGAAAGACGGTATCGGAATCGCCATCGCGTACACCAGATTCATGTACACCTGAAGAGGTAAGACACGTCAGACGTACTCGTGCCGATCGCTGACTACCGTCATCCTGATACCAAGGGCTGCTTCAAATCTGGCGGATAGCCAATTCTCGTGGACGTTGTGGGATAAAGATCGTAGGAGAGGTTTATAGATAATGGAGATTCCTTAATCGATTTACTGGTAAATTATTCGTTACTTTGATAGTGCATCCATAAACGTGACATTTACACCCGTTGTATGTAAAAGTATCGAGAATTTTCATTGTAATTAGTGGAGTTGACGTATTCGTTGCTGAATTTAGTAAGGTCGCTTTAACTGCGCGGATCTCGAGACTGCATGCGCGTAGCGTGGACGGTCACCATTTCAACCTCTCTGAAATTTCGAGTCGACCATTCGGCAGCTCGCCCTTGTAAATACAATGTAATGCTAGCCGCCGGTGTAATAAATTATACGCTTGACTAGATCTAGAGAGGATGACGCGTGGAAAGTTAACGTAGAGACTTTTCCGCGCAGTTAAAGCGACTTTGTAGGCATAAAATTCGAAGTTTAGTTATTACTACGGGGCACATAGAAGGTTTTCTACACACAATTTTGTTCTTATGAAGTTAGACTATATTAACGCATAAAATGGAAAATGTTATGAAACATTCAGATTATCGTATTCTCAGTCACATTAAACAACAAGAACAAATCAAATTTTGTAAACAAAATAAAGTCAGATACTTCTTTTATCCTCCTGGAAAAAGTTTATGTCTTAGCACTGACGTTGTTTTGCACAAGTACTCTTCAATCATTTAAACCTCATATATTCCTGCCACGAAATGAATTGCTCGCAGTACGAAATCCATTTTCACGGAGAAGCTTATTTCTCCTTCAATATTTCGCCCGTCAGAATTCGATGCGACGGATTGTATCTCTTTCGCGAGGGCCCCTTTAATTTAGAAAATTGACACACGTACCGCATGGAGTGGCAAGCATTTCCGGCGAATCTGCGCGATGTTATCGTCGTTTTGTAATGGGCGGGCACCGGGTACCGGGCTCGATTCAATTCCATGGCGGCGAGCGGACCGTGCGGCGTTGGGGGGAAATTTTCTTTTATTCAGTGCAGCAGCGACACACACAAGTTTCCATCAGGCACGATGGTTTCCTTCTTTGTCAGTCGTGGGGAGGCCGCTGTGCCCAAGCCCGCTTGAAATGCATTGTTCGTCGTCGCGCAGCCGGCTACGTTTCCGTATACGTAACGGAATTCCACTCGTGTGTCTCGCGTGGGCTCACGCCGCCGGAAAATCGTTTTCCACGCCGAGATGCTACCGGATCGCGCGGCTTTCTCCATTCGCGTTCGTATCCTCTTTTCACGCCGTTCGCTTCCAATACGCGCCGCTCCCTGGCCCACAATTTACGCGATTAATTTCGCACGTGTGAGAATCCATCTCGATAGCTTTTGGCTCGAAATGATGACGCTCTGCACACGAGGATGAATACGTCGTGTTTCATACGGGTCTTTGCAGGATTCGTTGTTCTATAACTTTATCCTTTTGGCTAGTATACGCCACTATAGTGAGTTTCCTCAAAGTGAAACTTTTGAGCAAAGCGCTACTATAGTAAATCATCGATTAGTGTTCGAAGTATTCTCGGCACTGACAAGGACAGGCCTCCGGGTGTAATATTGGCTTTTTAATGAGGTTTAGCACAGTGATAGAACTTGGAATTCTGAAGCTGATGGTATTTGTTTTAGCCGCATATGGCCATTTGTTTATGAAACATTTAATGTTGCTGAGGAGCTTTCGAACACTCATTGATGATTTACTGTATACAGTAGTATGTATCTAGGGCTGCAACGAGTAATCGCTTATTTCTTTAAATAATACGTTCAAAATACATTACTAACTATTTCCTCCGGAAAATGATGAAAGATATTAGAGAACAAGGACAATTATTACAAAGGTAGTTGAATGTCGCACAATATAACACAAATGTAACAAAATAAGTTTGGAAAAAAAAACAGCGAATTTCTCATTCACATATTAAATCATTTTTAACCAGGATATTTGCGTGTCACTTTTAGGTCCATTAAACGTGACGATAATGGTCAGTTCCGCTGGGTATTGTATTTAATGTAAAGACAAAATCTGCTATCGTGTAGCATCGATTAAATTGAATGCATGTAATTACATTATCATCGTTGATATTCATAATCACCCTTTATCCTCCAAATGGATTGTTCATACTAACAGTACTTTCGTAAGCCGTTTTGTCCTCATTCACATTAAGCATTTTTATATTATCAACATGACGTTATTCCGTCACTAATATTTCTCTATATTTCGAATCCTAAACGAACTTCTTCTACAAGGGTACACATCAATTTCCAATTCACCTTCGTTGTCTTCCTCTTTTTATTACCTGAATGTCATAATTCCTTTAGAATATTTCTACAAATCTCAAATTCGGGAACAGTACCAACACATCTTTATTCTGACTCTACTCTACTTTTTTACTTGAAATATTCCTACGACCTCCAAATCCAAAAACACTACACATCATCCCCGTGTTCACACTCGTACTAGTCCACTTTTTTTACTAGGAAAATTTCCACAAATTTCATACCCGTGAACAGTATGCATTATCTTTTTGTTCACACTCGTCCTACTCCACCTTTTTCCTCGGAAAATTTCTACAAATTGAAATCCGTGAACAGTACGCATTGTCTCTTGTTCACTCTTGTTCTACTCCATCCTTTTAGTAAGAATATCCCTACAAATTCCAAGTCCAAGAACAGCACGTCATCTTGATCAGTCTCGTTCTATTTCTCCTTTTGACTAAAAACATTTTTACAAATTTCAAATCCTACCTTTTCCTCCCAGAAAGGCATTATTTCCTTATGAATACTCGAACAATCTTCAAATCTTCTGAAATTGTATCCATCAGTGTCTCGTTCTCGTGTTTTCCGAAGTAACGTTTCGAAACTAACAAGTTCCTAAAAGTTAAACGCTCTCCAATGCTCGTTCTACCTGCTCCTCCCCTTTATCCAGGCAGGCAATGCGATTCGCCATCAATTACCCCGGTCCCGCGACTGGGAACTCTTTTGTGTCCCAATTAAAGCAGATACGGATCTCCGTTAATAATGAGGCACTGTTACGTACTTAACCGTTTACAGGCGTGCTTTTCGGCTGCATAATGCACTGTGCCCTCAATAGGCACCTGCAGTATCGATTCACGGGGCCAACGTTCCTGACGGCGATAAACTCCACGTTGCGGGAAGACTACACACACGTAAAGACCATCTTTCGCGTGACTCGTACGTACGATCCGGACTGGCGTAAATCGACGCCGCTTAGAACAGGGTAACCCGGTTACGCTCGATAGCGGAGGACACGTCAGCGCGGTGAGATTCGACTCTTATCCCTCTCGATCGCTGTTCGGCTGATTCCTCGATGCCGTTTGTTCTCCCCTGTAATCTTGCGGCTTCTGTACTAGCGTTCGAACTCGTGTCGTGGAGTTTCCGTGTTCAGGGGACGTGATGGCGTTTGTAAGTGTCACGAGAATCACAGACACGTGTTGACGAGTGTGTAAGTTTTAATTGTTGCGCTGATCTGGGTTAGGACAACATGGACAATTATTACAAAGGTAGGTGAATATCGCACAATGTAACACAAATGTAAGAAAATAAGTTTGGTAAAAACACAGCGAATTTCTCATTCGCATATTAAATAATTTTTAATCAGCATATTTGTGTATCACTCTTAGGTCCATTAAACGTAACGATAATAGTCAGTTCCGCTGGGTATTGTATTTAATGTAAAGACAAAATCTACTATCGTGTATCATCGATTAAATTGAATGCATGTCATTATATTATCATCGTTAATATTCATAATCACCCTTTATCCTCCAAATGGATTGTTGGTACTAACAGTACTTTCGTAAGCCATTCTGTCCTCATTCACATTATTTATTTTTATATTATCAAAATGACGTTATTCCGTCACTAATATTTCACTGTACTTCGAATCAGCGCGGTGAGATTCGACTCTTATCCACCTCGATTGCTGTTCGGCTGATTCCTCGATGCCGTTTGTTCTCCCCTGTAATCTTGCGGCTTCTGTACTAGCGTTCGAACTCGTGTCGTGGAGTTTCCGTGTTCAGGGGACGTGATGGCGTTTGTAAGTGTCACGAGAATCACAGACACGTGTTGACGAGTGTGTAAGTTTTAATTGTTGCGTTGGTTTGAACACTTTGGGCAAGGGAGGTGTGAATCTACCTTTATACAGAATGTTCTCAAAATAGTGCCACAACCTGAAAGGATGTAATTCTACATGCAAAAATTAGTCGAAAATGTAGAATAACATTTTTTCATACGATGCTTAGTTTTTGAGAAAATTGAACTTGAAGATCTGCTGGATATGCCTGCAATGGAATAGGACCTTGGCTAATGTGTCTGTTCATTGCATTCTGTTTCTACTTATTGTCGTTATGAATACATTAGTAGGCGTTAACACTAAACCTCCCGAATTCTTCAGAAATGTAGGAATTTGGACCCTAAAACCGGTCATGTTGACCAGTCGTGGTAGGTTTAGTGTTAAATGAATTTTTGAAAATTGATTATCGTGGAAACGAAGCACTATACGAAATATGTTATTGTACATTTTCGATTTGATTTTACATGTAGAATCATATCCTTTCGGGTTGATTGTACCAGCATTCGGAAACACCCTGTATAGTATTGTACAGAATGATTCTGAAGAGAACATCTGTTTTCTTTCTACCTACCATTGTAAATGTTGTTTTGTGTGTCGAAGAGCTGTAGCAGTTACAAAGGATGAAAATGCAATTTGTGTTCTTATAGAGTTCGTTTCAGCATAATTTTATCTGTTGCGTAAGCAGCAATGGACATATTACGGATGTTTTATTGGTTACATAATTTCAATGAGTGCGTGAAATCGACATTCAGGGCGAATAGAGTCCTATGTTAAATTGGAATCTTTAAGGGGATGGTGATGTATATCAAATGTTACGTTTATCGAGTTCGATATAATAATTTCCGTTAATATATAAGGCAAGAAAAAATAACAAACTGAAGGTGATTCTACCCTCAAAAGGAAGTAGAAATTATAATATAAGGTATCATATTTTCAAGAATACTATATTTAGACTTATTACCTCACCTGTCTAACCGTTGCTCGCTGTTTCTACTGACGATGATTACAAACAATGGCAGTGACGTAAAATGAATTTTTTACAATAATTCCGTATAAATTGATAATTAGGAGATGGTAAGATCGATGGGAAGGAAGTAATAATAGTATATATTAAACGTAAGTAGAAATAGTACGCAATGGTCAGACTGTTAGCTGTTCTTATTCGAAAGCAGGTGGACCCGTCTAATGATATATAGATTTTTCGGACAACGAAACTTTATATGAAATTCTGTTCTTTGACATTCTCAATTTACTTTTGCAAGTAGTATCACCTAGTATTCTAATGTGTACAGTTAATTCTCGCAGTACTGACTGGTGCACTAGAACCTATATCATTTTCACTCATATAAACATTCCAAACGAAATTTCTTTCATCCATACGATTAATTTCAACTAGTGTTTCTTATCTTAAATAGTTTTAAATCAGCCGTGTCTCCGTAAAAAACTATGTTTCATCTTAACAGTAGAGCTGCCAGCATTGTATGCATGCTAAGTTAAACTGTGCAATATATTAATACGTATAATATAGAATACAATATAACTCAGTATACTATAATATAAAGTGTACAAGAAATTAGAGAGTAACATAAATTCCGACGGAAGTATCACTAGGGTTTAATCTGAAATCCATCATTTTAACGGGTTCGGTAGTAGATTACGGACTTCAGTGTACATATACATAATCCTAAATACTTTTCATAGCTAAATAACATTTCAGTTAAGAACCCTTAGTAATGTAGGAACTGAAAAAGAATCCCAGAATTAAGTAAAAGAAAATGATTAAAATTACAGTTCTATCGCGTTCCGACAGCTGTTTTAAAACACAGTACGACATCGAGCATCGGAATCGACACACGAGTCTTCTATACTCGAATCCACAACGACTCACGTATCGTTTAGTTATAACTAAGTGTAGAAAGTACAAAGTGAAAGGGACGAGCATTAGTGTCGCCCTTTCCTACGGTAAGTAAACCGTAACAGTCTATAGAATCACGTTACCAGTAGATCGAATTAAGGAAGGAAAACGTAGGACACTTTCGTGCCCACTAGGGACCGATGAAGAGAGGGGATAGGCGAAACGTTGGAACGTGAAATAAAGCCAACTGAATTATACAGACGAGCACCTCGCGTGGCCGCGTTGCACGAACGGGTTGGGCGAATAGTTTCCAAGCCGAACGGGGGCTCACGCATGGAATGTAAATGTGGACGGAGGACAGACGAGAAAAGACACGGACGACAGAGAAAAAATATGTCGAGACCTGCCACATGTCGAGGTCGCTGATGACTATCCCGGGGTCCACTTTCGAGTAGTAACAGCTAAAGTTCTGCCCTATGTTGGAGTACTGCCTGTAGAAAATACTGCAATTCAGCATTGGAGGGTATCCACAGCCTTTTACGTTCGGGAACAGCTTCGCCCCGGTGAAGTACCACTCGGAGTCGTTGCCCATGAGACCTGCGAACTTCGCCTCGTTATCCTCCGGACCCGGTCGCCCGCGGAACGGATTTCCATACGGGCTGGGTAGGAAAAGTGGACGTTGTTAAGGGTGTCTGGCACCCTTCCCCCCATCGCGCTTTCGAACGGGTTATTTGAGTTCGGTAGTTTGAACAGGTTGATGAATTTCCCTATTTCGTTAGGGGAACCGTGTCGCGTGGCATGGGCCACTGCTGACGTAATGGCTGCTTGATCGCTCGCCAGTTAACCTTCGGTGGAATTGTTTCACGAGCGGAGTTTACTTTGTCGTGGTTTGGACGTGTGTCGAATTGGTTGGCGGTTCGTAACTTTTCCGGCGAAATTTTGTAATGAATAGCTTTTGGAATCTCCTATTGCGGTATTGTTTTTATCTTTGTACCGTAAGTTTGTGTAACTTTGATTCAGTCTGGTGTAATTACGTCCGAAAGTTAGAAAATGGCCATTTTCGATTTTGTAGTACTTTTACGGGTGTTTTTATGTGAAATACTTTTTTACGTAATTGTCAACTTAAGTTAAGTATTTGCAGGGCTGTAGAATCGAAAATGATCATTTACTGACTTGGGATAAAGTTAATCTGACCGAGTCAAAGTTATTATAACTTACGATACTGTGAAAGTTGGCGAACTGGGTCCGTTAGTAGACCGAGATAGAGATCGTTTAAACTGTTTTTCTTGGTATAATCATTGGTATGCGAATGATGAAAAGAATATTTTGAAGGAACAGTCAGGGTCTGCTGGTTAACTCATAGACAAGCGAACACTTTTGAAAATCGACGTTCCTCTTTGGATTGAGTGGACATCGTGGATTTTTGAAATCTAACACCTACACAAATTTTTAAAACGTTGTATAATCTTCTGAGCACATTTGAATTCTCTCTAATCAGAATATACAGAGTGTTCGAAAGAGTAGTTAAAGACTTTCGGTTCTCACTGCACTCACGGAGTGGAGTAAAAAATTTCTAATCAACATAAGAATCTAAAATCAATTCTTCCGATGAAAAATACAGGAGTTCATTTTAAAATTTGTTACACAAATTGGATATGTCTTTCTACCATTTCAATATAAAACTCACATATGCAGATCTTAGGTCGATGTAATTTTTTAAACATTCCTTCCATGCCTCGTATGGATTTATGTATTTCTAATCAAATTCTTTTATTTAGATTCCATATACTGAGAGGCGATTCACTTATGATATCGAACACTCGTAAATATAAAACTTCATTTTACATCGAAAGTATTTATTTTAGAACCCATGTTGATCAGACATATTTGACTGTACTCAGTAAGTACTATAAACCCCTACAGTCTTATATCCTAATATTTGAAACCTTGTATAGTAATTTCAATCAATATAACAACAATAACGTTGAAGTTAAAAATCAAAAACATTTTATATGCTATAGTAGACATCCTAGTGTCGCTGGTCCACCTGCCAAAATCATGAGATCAGGTCGTATACTTCATGAAAGAGAAAGCAAAACAATTACCAAGCACTAAACATAGTTTATGCAACAACAAACTCCGCAATTTCCCTTAAATCTCTCTAAAAAAACGTTTTCCCCGTTCGTCAATCGTGGACACCTGGTCTCATACTTCTGACCGATAGTATACTCCAATCACCCAACTGCTATAGTCAAGGCAAAGAGGAATGTAGGTCCATCGAAGTGTTCCGAGTGTATAAATACAGCTCAGCCTGTTTCTATTACGTTCATGCAATCTAAACTATTCTACATCAAACGACAAGGTCGTTCGATCTAGACAAAAGACCTAGTTGTCTACCGTAAATATAGTTACGATCTTGGTATTTCATTTTACGTTTACGTGACGACAGGACAGAGACACCTGAGGACGTCCTCCTATACCTGTAGGGAAGGGTTTCGGCAGTCCAGTGTCGTCGTCCTCGGCGAAGTCGTCGTCGAGATCCTCGACGTAATCGTACTCCCTCAGGGAGCGTTCGTAACGCGGTTTCCCCATCGTCGTGCTGTCTTCGTCATCCTCGACACCTCCTACCGCTCCACCTCCCTCACCCTGTCCGTCGTCATCATCGGACGCGTTAACGGGTAGCTTATAGTTGACGCGTATTTGCGTGCAATCGTAGAGCTCCTTGGTGCAACCCTCTCTACAGGACGTCCATGAGCAGTTGCTCGTACCTGGACTCAACGGATCGTTCATGGACGCGTTGCTTGAAGAAATCGCGTTTAACGACGAGAGATACACGGGGCGAACAAGACGAAGAACAACCAAGGGGTGGATCTATCACGAGCGGAGTTCGGTGCACGCCGAAAAATTACCGTTCCATCGATCGGAGCTCCTGATACACCTGATAAGTTGGACGAGTGGCGATTGGTTACGGGGATAATACACGGGTACGGTGATCCCTATATCGATACGGAAAACGTGGTATTTTCATATTGAGTTTTTCAGTTGGATTTTTCGAGGAAAAATGTGAATTCGTCTTCTTGAAGACATTCAACAGTAGAATTACTGGGGATAAACGATTTCTATATGATGGATATATATGGAAAACTTTTGGAATTACACGAATTTATAAATTAACTCATTTATGTTGTAATCATTAAATCGTTATAATCATTATAATAATTATGTAATTAACGTTATAACTACACACAATAAAAGTTGTAGATCTGACAAAGTGCACTGTTATAATATTTTTATCATCGTTATGAGAGTAAACTAACCATTTCCACTGCTTTGATAATTTTAGTGTTAATGCTATGACGGTTATTAGTGACTGCTATTTTAATTTAGTGTAGTCCAATTGGTGTCAATAGAAAGTGGGCTGAAATATGCCTAGCAATGAATGTATCAAAGCTCTATTATTTTGTTAATTTTAATTATTTTGCGTTAGTTACGGTTTAAACGACAACTATGTGGTAAATGGTAATAATTTATGTATCTAGATCATTTATAAGTAGAATTGAAATACATTAATGAGATCAATAAAGAAGTGGAGTATTTGATGTCCTACTAGTCTTCAAGTGACGAAAATAACAAAATATCAATAGGAATGTCTCGATTCACAGTGGGCGCATAGTTCAGAACGTAAACGTCTATAATTCCAAAATAATTCAGCAATAATTGCTAGTGAGAATACCGTAAAAAGTTATTAATATACAACTAGTACCGCATCGAAGACAATAATCATAGTATCGTGAATAATACTGTAGAAACCATATATAATTTTCCTCTACTAAGTAAACTATATCACCTAAATATGTACCTCCTAAGGACCGTAAAAAGAAATAACCATGAAAGAAATGTTCTATTTACGATTCTCTCATGTCATTAAAAATAAAAGAATTAATTCGATGTTTGGTCGTAGCTGAGGCAACCTGTATAATGGACAGATATATACCGAATTTGCACTGTGTAACCGATGAAACTTTAAATTAAATTCTGTCGTGAACAAAATCTCATACCGATAAATACTATTTTAGTTTTTGGTTTTACCACGATTTCCGGTACACCGTATATAGTAACTGTGACTGGATTATCCATTTACCAGAGCATTATCTAGGCAGCTGAGTGCTATCCAAGTAACCAGGTACCCATTCGTGAAAACCAGGCGCGTCAAGAGCCCCGCTATCGATCGAGCAAGCACTCGTATATACTTGGAATCTTTGATCGTTCAGAATCTCACGTGGAGAAGACACGATCCGCTTAATGTGGAATTCGAGAAGCTTTGTGTGCACGAACACATCGTTGCTCAAGAGACAAGCGACTAATTCGAGACAACGAGAACTTGATTCGCGTGACACCACTGACACGTGCTATTGTTTTGTGGACTCGAAGCATGACAAATACACCATTAACGAGTGCGAAATACTTAGCGACAAATACATATATTGTTATCCAAAGTTTTGTGAATGTGAAAGATAGAACGAATAAATTTTGAAAATTCATGGTCCAATGGTAATAGCTCGAAATGGAAATTGGTAACATTTAATTGAATTGTCTGAATTGTTACAGAATTTCTTGTAACGCATGAATCATGTTTATCGGATTATCATTGTTGCGTCAGAGTGTGTTAAATAACGATAATTTTGAACAGTATGGTCAACCTGTCGATTGAAATCAATTAGCAAAAATGATCCTTAATTATCGGTCAATTGACTGTAATATGGACTATGCCATAGGGTGGAGCGTAATTCGTAGTGCAACCGAAAGAGTGGTAATTCAATTTGCAGATACAAAACGAACATGTATGATAACACTTTTTTGAGGAGGTTCATTTCTGAAGAAGTAGTATTTGAAAATTCGCCTGAATACAAGTGCTTTTAAATAGAACCGACCAATATGTCTGTGTATCGTTGACTATAACTACTTGGAACAGAAAATTAATAAAAGAACAGTATTCTCTTTTATTATTTTTTGTGGTAGTAATTTTTACATTTAAAAATTTTAGAATAATTTTAGGTAGACAATATATTATTGACGGTATCTATAAGTAGAATCAGTCAGTTATTGGCCAGACACGCGAATTTAATTACATTCAATATTGAGCACATCCAACGAGTTTTCAGAAAGTAATTTCCTCACAAACAAAAGCTCGCGTAAAAAATTGTTTCCCGTTTTTTATCCGTTTTCAAGCAAAATATACCCCCTACCGGTTGCAACATAAACCACAATCCATTTTGTGTAAGATGAAACTTTATATCCGTCCTGTCTGAAATGTAATTTACGATAACAGCACAACTCAGATGTTACAAGACATTTCCATAAAATAAAATTGCGTGTGTAGTACGATAAATACCATTTTTCGACGTGCATCACATACCAGAGATGAGAAGTCAGGAAGTAAATAGTCGAAAGAAACGTGCTCACATACACAGAGGAAGTGTCACGACCTCGGGAACTGAACGCGTAAATCGTTTAGAAGAGACAGGGAGGCGAAGTTGACGAGGGAAGAAGAATGCACGGTGACATCCTCGAGAATCATGGAAACAAGAAAACTGTAGCGAAGTTCCCTGACGGTGGTCCCGGAGGCAGGTTACGAAATCCTTTTGCCCTGACCTAGCCTTACCCTCATCCCCCTCCCCCATCTAGAAAGTTTCACGTCGGCCGAGCTCCGGCACCGATGCAGCTGACGTGCCGGGTCACACTTTTTGGATAACGTCCAATCTCTAGAGTCGCCATCTTCGAAATGCAAATTTTTCGGGATTCTCGACTAATTACTCCTCGTTGTGACTAACAATTCGGATTATGCCGCGGACGTTCCGAAAAGTTGCCAGCACGGCTTCAAGGATAGAATTGGCGAATCATGAGACTAGTGACAAAAATTTTCCTATATAAATGACTCAGTTCCTTCCAATCATTTTTATGTTATTATTATTGTACTTGATATTTGTGAAAATACAGGTTATCAATTTTTTTAGTATTAATTGTGAGAGTGCAGTTGATTTCAATAGTTGGAAGAATCTTAATTTTGAATACGTGATAGAAAGAATTTCAAATGGTTGGAAGTAATATGAAAATGGGAAAGTTAATAATCTTATGAATTTTTTAGTATATTCATTGTATGAGCGTAGTTGACTTAAATAGTTGGAAGAATGTTAATTCTGAATAAGTGATAGAAGGAATTTCTGATGGTTGGAAGTAGTGTAAAAATAGGAAAGTTAAGACACCTTTTTCAAATTTTTGGATATTGAGTTAATTCCATTCATAGAAGAACAACTGCATATATGTGACATCGTATGAAAATTGTTTCGAAGATGGGGACTCTCTGTGATAGAATAATTTAGTCTCCGTGCATATTTCTCTCCTTGTACTTTGTCTTCAAGATCGTTATCGAGCTGAAATCCTATTACACAACATCAGTTACAAACTCCGACATCATGAAATGATGAACATCGAGGAATAAACCTTTGAAATGACATAATTTCTTGAATCATAACTCGAATTTACTTGACCTTTATAAGTGTTAAAAAATTTGCTTATGATTAATTAAATTGTGTTAGGTAAGAAATCGAGTGTATTCAAAGGTTTAATGTATCCGATTGAACACATGAAAACTGAGAGAATATTCACACAACTATCGTCACGAAAATTCCGAAACAACATTCCACAATACGTACAGAACAATTAACAGGAAAATCGTGTAAGGTAATCGAATTTGATGCGAATAGTAGACTGCTACGAGAAGACCAGTGCATAAGGGGAATCTAGAAAGAGGAATGGAAACCACGACAATTAATAGAATATGAAATACCAGTAGTAACCAACAGAGGACAATTGCGAAAACCAGAACATTCACACACATTCAGGGTTAGTCATAAACTTAATATATGTACATTACGACATAAAGTACAAATTACATAAAATACATTATATAGATTTCATTCCTTATTTCACAAAAAAAAACATTTGTCCGTTTAATTGTATATTACAAGAAAGGACCTATCACGACTTACTTTTAATCTTCAAACAGCTATTGATTAGGATTATAGTAAATTTTAATGTACAGTAAAAAAACAAATTGTGATTAACTATAAGTAATTTTTAAAAAGTGTCAAATTTAAATATTACAAAAAGACTAATCTCCTTTTACCTATAATCATTTCTGAATACAAAAGCGCCGTAAGACACGTCGGTTCTCCTAGACGAGTGTTTAACACGATTAAAATAATTACATAGTCGCAGGAAACCAGCAAAGCCATAATCTTTCATTACGAGATTATAACATATCCGTTGTATGCAATTTCTAACGACGTGTAGTCGCGTTTCAAAGAAATCGATAGATGTAATCCACTTAACAATCTTTAACATGTCGATCAGCCTTCGTACAACTCTCACGATCTTCCTACGTTCAGAAATAACAACACTTTTTAAAGTAAACTGTGCATAATCTCTCAATCTAAAGTATTAGGTTCTTGCATACGAAATGCCACTTTATTACAGACATTCGATAGTATATTGCACATTATGGAAATGTTATTAAACACAGTCAGATTAAACAGACGCTATGCACGTTTCTCATTCAAGTAAAAGTTACACTGAATTATTCTGAATTCGAAGGTAATTCTTGGAAGACACTTTTAGTTGTCATCTTTTCGCCAAATGTTGCAATCACTAGACAAAAAGTACTTTTTAGCAGAAACTTTCGTGCACTTTTATGAAGTACACTTATGATTTACCTTAACTGCCCATTTCTTAATATATGTGGGGGAAATGACCCAATTTAACTGACATTAATTCTCTACCTTAATTAACTTCAGTATTTACCATAACTAAGTTTATTGTCATTTTAGATAGTACCTTGAACCGAGTAGAGCACGCTCTGTAATTTTACAATAAAAAAAGATCTGTGTAAACCTATTAAATACGAATATTATGTTGGTACAACATTTCATTGTCAATCTTGTTTTCAGTCATTTTTCATGAATGAATTCTATTCTTCTTTTAATATATTGCTTATGAAAGGGAATTCCAGGGATTTCCATAATAATTTTCTCGACACAATTTCCTCCCTCACCTAGGTATACAATTTTGTCAAGAATAAATAATCTTGTATATAAAAATGGTATTATTTCACTGCTTGGTCTTTAATATGTTACAAATTTTCATTCATAAAGTAACGTCAAATATACCTATCACTAAAACCGCTGATTACACGTGCAACGACCCACAAAATATATCAATCGAGGTTTACACTAATACAAATAATAGTTGTTAATATTAACCTGAACATTAACGAAACCCTAACAATAGGTGTGTATGGAAAAATTGGAAAGAAATGTGACTAAGAATACATCAGGTGTCTGGATACTTGGGAACGGTAGTGTGTATCGAGAACTAGACGTCTCAGCACTCGAATCGCAGAGAGAACACCCCCCGGCCGCTGGCGTTCGACTGGTGTCGCGCCTGAAGTGTCAGCACTAGGGTGACGAAAGAGCGAGGGGGTGTCACCCTGGGAGATGAATACGTTCGGCTCGCTCTAGACCGACTCGAATACAAAGACACCAGTTGCGTCGATCTTAGCCCGTCTCCGTCTAGTGGCTCTTTAGCGGCTCTATTACATCGATATATCGATAACGCGGTGCGGCTCGACGAGGTACCAGGCGACGCGTCCAATTTACGGTATCGTTCCTTATCGCGATGACTTCGTATCGATCCACGCGGCGTACGCTGGTATAATTCTTCAACGATACGTCTAGACTGTCAATTGTAGGAATAATTGGAGAGATCTAAAGTCAATGTCCCTATTTCTAATCACGTACCGATTTCTGCTCAGTACGTATATTCTTTATTTCATGTAAAACGTCAAACAATAAATTAGTTATACAAACAATTATTTCAATTAGTTCAGTGTTTCCATACAAAATGCTACTGCCTGCTGATTAATCGATGGCAGTATTTTTGTAGAAATAAATTTAGTAAGCGTGTTCGTCGTACAGAAACGTGATTTCAACGGTTCTGTTACGATCGTCAGTTACACGGGGATGCTGCGTTTTTACTAAAAAAAACTTACGGAATTTTTAATATGATATTCTTTGCCGAAGTTTGCTTTGCTACTTCCATTTTCGCTGAACAGAAATAGGGACATTTTATACTTTGTATTTAATTAATTATTATTGAATGGAAATGTTTTTAAAAATACTTCTATTTAAATTGAATTATAATGGAAGGTTTAAATTTTATATCTAATAAGATTTTTTGTCGATTGCTGCGTAAATAAATAACAAAAATCACTTTCTGCGTTAGCATGATTAGAAATAAGGACATTGACCTTATGCCTCGTACGTAGGCTGTGGATTTCATTCATTCACAGGGTGCGTGTTTCATAAAACAGAATTAAATGGACATTTTATGTGTTTTATTGATATTTCGGATGAAGTATAGATTTTTTTGTGATTCTAGTTTTTGTGAAATATAGACATAGTATTTCACATAAACATCCGCATATTTAGTCATTAATAATCGATTCCAATACGGGTCTCGTAATTAACCCTTTCGTGATCGACTTATTTTTTCAAAGAGTTTGTTGTTTGTCTACTTGTCATCTTGTTGGACGATAAATTCAGATCAATAGAAACAACTGAGGAAACGAGATTTTCCTGTTAAATGCGATTACAACGAATGATCCACGAGGACACCGACATCCGGGGGCAAATATTATGACTGTCGGAATGTTTTGTCACGCATTCGAAAAAATTGATTGACATCCTAGACGTGCCACCCACGGCCGATCCATCGTGAACGAACGAAACCGTCTCTGGACCATCGGTCGTTCTCCCATTCGTCGTTTAGTCGTAACGATTGAAAACTTATTCTCAATTAAAATCGACACCGCGCCGATGAAAATGTTGACGGAAGTCGTCGGTACGATCTGTCGAGTATAGCACGGGACGTGAAATTGAAACTTTTTTCGGTTGAAACAATATTAATGCACGACGATGTTTCCTGGCCATTCTGGTTACGCGCACGCAATCGTAATTTTCGCTCTGTTCACCGTTTACCATTTTATTTGCATAAAATCAATGGTACGCGCCGCACAACGCCGGCTTGCTCTATTTCTTTCTATTTTTGTTGGTTTTAATTTTGTTTAAAAAATAGTCTGTAGGCGTTGCAACATTTGAATCGATAAAGTGTAATGGATATACAGGGTGAGACGTACATATGTAATTTCTGGTGCAATCGAAACAATGGCGATACTATATAATAATAGGAGGCAAAATAACAGTATTTAATAGAATTGTTTCAGAGGACACTGTGTTGTTGGAAGAATGCAATTTGAAAAGTTATTGAGCATGCGTAAAACTTGCATGATTAAAACTTGGCTGTACTACCATTGCCTGATTATCGATATTGCTTTCTGGAATGGGAACGTATATGTAATTATTGCGGTAAACAATATCATGATCATATCAATGTACGTGAATTTACTATAGAAGTTTATAGAAAGTTATGTTTAATGAACAATGTGGTATATTAAGAACACCTAGATTATTTGAATGGTTCAAGTACCAATATTCGATGATAAGAAAATCTTTTCCAAGATACCACACAATCATATAACTTTCATTTCAATCATTTCTATCATAACTTTAATAATAATGGTAATACAATAATTGAAATGTTCACAATTAGTGGTACTGCCAGTACGTAAGAAAAAACTGAAATCAAGTAGCATAATTTCCTCTATTAATAAATTCACTAAGTATAGAATGAAATAAAACTGTATTAAAATTCATTAAAAATTAAAATTCATACTAAATTCATAAAAAAAATATAGTGCTGTATGTGGAATATTTCTGTAAACTATGATTGCGTAATGGTCCTGAGTTTATATGTATATAAACATGGATGCAAGTAGGAAGAATCAGCCATGGTCAGGCATATGTAGGTGCCATGTGGTAATTTAATGTATACCTGTCAGACAAATTCTCTTTGTCAGTCCTATTTAGAACACAAATCTGTATACAACTAGTGTATTTTATACATTTCATTTATTTTTATACAAGGAATAGCCGTGTTTCCTGTTGGACCACAAATTATGCACAACCCTGTACATTTTTTGACCACATGTATAAATACGATTGATGTTTTACGTCATGTAACCAGTTGAGGATGTAATACCGAATTGCATGTATCGAAATATCAAACGTTTATGATGAAAATGTACACGTTTGCGATGGAAATGTAGAAGTTCCTGCATAAATAGCACTCCGATAACTGTTTATCAACGCTGTTGCGGAAATGTAGTATTTCCTGTTCATGCAAGCGTGTATTTTTACGAACTAAACGTGATATACTAGATGTTCCTGAAATGTCAATAGAAATTCAAATCGTTAACACATTGTGCACGATACTTTATTCACCTAAAATCTGACGATTTAAGAAATAATCGAATTAATATTTTTCTTTGCCTTTTAACGGACATTTGTATTACGCCTTTTTTTATTTCTTTCAACGTGTTCTAGTAGCAAGTTAAATTTTTACAAATGCTTCAGAAACATTTTTGATATACTAATCCTGTAACGTCTACTTCCCGGAGTGATTTCCAAAGTCCCGTTAAGAAAATGTCGGTAGATTGTTATATAGAAAAGATTAAAATGTTATTTTTACTCTGTTATACGTTTCTGTGTTTGCAGGACACACGAATCGATTTTTGGCGAAACTTTCGTCGCGTGATGTTCGGATGTAACGTTGTGGGAAACTATCGCGTACCATTTAACTTCCTACTGGAAACTGTAGAATTTGTTAGAAGTATATGTTTCGTCAACGTAAACTGTCAGAGAGAGAAATTAATATTGTGTAAGATGACAGAAACTATGTCAATTAGTGATGCTAGTGACTCTAAATTGAATTTCAAGAAAGCGAATAGTAACAATATTCCAAAACTTCGAATAAACAAATCAGGAATTATAAAATTGCTGTACTGTATCCTTTTTTCTTATGCTACGTATTCCTGTATCTGACGCGTTTCCATCAAATAACTTTCTCCGGCTCTAATATGAAAATTATGATTATGTAATTGATACAAATATACACGGTGTCTCAGAGGCTTCCGTACTACACGTTATGACATCTTCTAATCGTAAAAGTAAAAAGAAGATGTCATTTTAACACTCGAACTACCGATAATTAATTTATACCTACTTTTATCTGATCGATAAAATTGAGACCATTTCGAAAATATGCAAGTTTATAAATGAATTAATTTCATATTATTAAAAAGAAAAGATAATAAGTTGTCTAAGAAATAGACTGTTACAATATTTTAATAATTTTCAAAACAGCTTTCGAATCCATTATTTTGACTGTTGTGGTAGTTTTAGCGTTAAAATTTCAAAGACCAAGGTAAGACATTTTACTGTCCATGTATTTCCTCGTGCCCAAACTCAAAGGACAATACTCGACTGGAAATCGATGATATCGATCGTTGTTTGTTCGACGAAAAAAATTTAATTTCTACGTCACTGAGACGTTCCGGCCCGAAATGTCAAGCTCACACTGTAATTCGACTCCTTTTTGAATAATCCACGGAGGACAGGGCGAATCCGTGATATCGTTCATTAAATATGGAATTAAATGTCATTGCCTTCGTGTGTCCGTGGCCAGATATAGGAATACGTGGTAACCGTTGTTGCGCGTCCGCCGATCGGGTTGTCCATCAAAACAACCTTCGTAGCGTCCACTCGATATCTGGAAATAGTTTTCTCAATCATTCATGCAAATCGTATATTCCGGCAGAGATCCTTTTTCGTAAATTGGAACGAATCGATTTATGGGCATCGACGGTTCCTCCACGTATGTACATACGTCTCGCGCGATGTCGTGAAATTACAACGAATTACAGTTTTCACAGAGATTTATTTCGATAATTTTCTTTTCGTCGAGCCGGGGTTAAAAGCAGCCGAGAAATATAGGTTGAATAAATGAACGAACTCCTGAACGGAATGAAATGTATTCCTCATCTCGATGATGTAGAATAAATTAAATTCATATGTACGACAGAATTGGGCATAATTTTTACTAGAATAATACATAGTTAAAAGCAGCAGTATCTAAGATCGTAAACCTGACCTTTAAACAGTTAACGAGATTAAATAATTGTTTCTCAAGTGTGTACTCATTTAAGATGAAATGTATTATTTTATTATAACGATTGGAATTTCCATACTTAATCGATTAAAAAGGGCGAGATACTCTCTTTTTTGATCTTTTATTGTTTACTGGAATCTGTTCATCTGGATAATGAATTTATCCATCTCTGACTTACGACATGTTTGGCAATTGTGATCAAAATTAGCAACTATTATTTTATATTAGTATAAACCTCGGTTAGTATACTTTAAATAAATATTATTCGTAGTTAAAAGTATGTAAAAGTTTCAACAGTCTGAGGAGTTGTGCATGTATTAAAAGTTCTAATAGTTGCACAAGTTTTAGTAGTTCTAAACGTTTCCAAGGTTCAAGTTCGTTTAAAAAATGAGTGTTAAACTTAATGAAGAGTTCGAAGAACCAAAACAAGCCAATAAATATCTTTAAAAAGCAGTCGATCGTAGTAAAAAACCCATCCACTTTGTCTCGAAAATCCTAAAGTTTCATGTATTGAACTTCAAGTAATTATTGAACCCACGGACAAAGTAACTATACTTTTTACAATTTCTGAGTCAAATGTGTCCTAATCTAGAGTATTCCATTAGGGTACTATGTTAGTACAAATTATAATTAGTATTTCTGACTTTAACACTGATTAAACATGTAAAATCTTAGGTAAGGTAGATGAAGGTAATTTAAGTTGTTAGTCCAGTGATACCTTAAGATTCTTTATATCTAATTGAGAAGTCTCGTGTTCTAAATATTATCCCATCTTCCTGAAATATTTTTCTATTAGAGCTTACCTACAAGTAATTTTAATATAAATGAAATTTAAGTAAAAACTACTCTTGTGTGAAATATGAAATGAAATCTGATATATGTATAAATGATCAATTTCTTACTTGTGCTGTTTTGCAATGGATATCTGAATATTGGATTTTTAATACACATCGAATGCAGACATAGTTACACACACACAAGAGACACACACTCATATAC